GCAGCACTCTGGTTGCCGTTTCCTCTACTTTTTTATGTCCAGATGGGAAGGTAGGTTACCAGCTCCTTGGCAATCATTGAATCATAAAGGTGGAAGGGACCTCAAGTGCAGGAATGCTATTCCCAAATCATCCCTATCCGCTGCTTATCCAGCTTCCTCTTGAAATTTTCCAATGAAGGAGATTCCACAACTTCCCTGGGCAGTCTATTTCACTGCCTCTTTGTTCTAACAATAAGGAAGTTTTTCTTGATATATAGCCTACATCTACTTTGCTGCTAGTTAAAGCCATTGTTCACATCCTACCTCCTTCCTTATGGCAGACTTCCAGATACTTGCAGACTGCTTAATTACCTTTACTCCAAGCTAAACATGTCTAGTTCTCTCAACATTTCTTCATCCGGCTTTCCTTCTAACCCCTTAATCATTTTGGCTGCCTGCCTCTGGTCCCTCTCTAACTTCCCCACATACTTTTCTAAAACGTGGAGCTAAAATTGTGTACAACACTCTAGGGCTAGGGGCAGACATTACACATAAACCAGTTTAAGTGATCAGAAACTGGTTTAAACCTGTAACAGAACAGATATTCAATACACATAAACCAGTTTGAAAATGGCTGAAACTGGTTTGAGATAAACCTGGCTGAATGTAGTATCAGACTTAACTGATTTGGCTCAAACTGTTTTTTTACAATGTCTGTCCCAGACCGCTTCGTGGTTTAAGATAAACTGGACACCCCCAGCATCCTTGCATGCTCTCTTGGCTGGGCGGAGCTCTCTATTCCACAGCAAGGATGGCCCCTCTCCTCTGCTCCCTAGCTGCAGCTCCCCTTACACCCCGTCACCACTCCCTGCTAAGCAGGAATTCCCCCCTCCCCTCTGCCTTGCTGAGCTGTGTCTGTGTATTAGCTAGCAGACCACGTGCTGGCTCCCATACATGCTGAATCAACAGGCAGAATCAACAGATAGCTGCTAATGTCCCTCTGTTGATTTCTTAATGGGGTGATAAACACTGAGTTGGGGGGTGATAAACACTGTCATCAATTCCCTGCTGGGCTAATCACAGTGTCCTACCCCACACACCCCTCAGCTCAGTGCTCTGGAAGGGAAGGGAGGGCTGCTCTAGCAACCCCCAGCTTCTAGCCTGAGCCAGGGCAGGCATGTGCCTGCATATCTGGGATGTCTGTGCAGTTACAAACCAGTTCAGCCTAGCCAGGTTAGACTAACCTGCAAAGATTGAATCAGTTCAGGCTCAGGCTTTTTAAGTGCTTTAAGTGTTTGTCCCTAGCCTGGATGACGCTTAACAAGTGTCAAGTTAAGAGGTATTAATATCTCCTGTGTCTTACACTTAATACTTCTGCTGATGCAGCTTAAATGATTGATGGCTGTACTAACCATGTCTGTACTTCATTTTTGGTGAGTTAGTCACCCAAGGGGCTTGCAGACTTTTGAGAGACTTGGAAGAAATTTTGTCAGATAGCTTTGCAAATCCTACTAGTGTCTTAACTGACTTAGTATCATAGGTATAGTATCTGCTGAACTGCTTTGACCTTTTTCAAGATCAAACCATAATCCCTGGGGAACAAGCAAGGGTGCCATGTTTGGCATTTCCCTCTTCTTCCCCAGCATCCTCTAATAGGCATGTGGAAGTGTTCTGCTGTGGCTTCTGCCCTGCTGTCTCCTGTTCCTACACCAGAATGTCATCAGCTATATTACAGACCCCTGCAGATCCTGTTAATACATCTTTCTGGGAATATTGATATCTTTCCATGGCAGTTTTGAACCCAAATGGAATTCTCGGTCATCTGTATCTACTGGCTGGTGTCCACCATTTGGAAAGGCAGCTGCTTTCCTTTTTCACTGTTTTATGCCAGTATCTGGCCTAAGGGTCAACTCCTGAGAATATTTTTGCTTTTTTCCAAACCCTGTTGTTGTAGGCATTTCAAATGAGTTCATCCTAGTGGTTTAAATCCTAGAGCCTGAGCAAAAGCAAAGCGTGCTTGGCTTCTCAGTGGCTATCATGTTTCTTTTCCATGTTTGGGAGCTCTGCTACTTTGACACTGTGGCTTCTTACCATTTGTTTTATTGCTCTTACAATTTCTTCTTTTATTACATAACTGTTTTGCCAGGCACTGGATGGCAATAACAAGGACTGGGTTCAATTTAGAGTTTTTACACATTATTTTCTATCTTGGCTTGTGAACCCACCTAGAAACCTGAGGAAGTAAATGCTACCTGGGTATTCCACTGTGAACAAACTTCCCCACTCACAAGCAATATTCAGTAGGGTTGTGCGAAGCTTCAGGTAGTGATTCAATTTAGAAGAGATTCGTCTCAATTCGGTGGCTGAATCTCCAAATCTGAATTGAATCAGCAAACCAATTAAAAGGTCCAAATCGATTCAAAGTTCTCCAAATCTTCAGAAAAGATTTGAAGAGCTTTGATGATTCGGGCAGTCCCTGTCCGCTGCAGCAGGGAGCTGTAGCCAGACTTGGAGCTGATAAGTAGGGGGTGGGGAGAGGAGCTGTAGAAGGGGGAGGGGACCATGGGAAGACCCCAGCTAGGCCCCATCCCCTGCCTGCTCCCCTGCCCACCTCAGCTCCCGGTGCTTTTAAAAAAACCCCGACTCACCAGGTGCCGCCGGGCGGGAGTGGGGAACGATCCCTGCTGCCCCCCACTGCCCCACGCTGTGTGGGTGGTTCTGCATGAGCCTCCTGACCCCACCTCACTCCCTAGTCCCCACCAGTGCCTGCAGCAGCCTCAGGGCTTCAGAGTACAGCAGGGGGCAGTGGGTTTTGCCCCCCCACTGGGCAGAAACGGTGAGTCCGGGGTTTTTCTCATTTTTTTTTTCCTAAAAGGGCCAGAGCTGGGGTGGGTGGAGCAGCCGTGGAGGGGGCTGGGACAGCAAGCAGGGGTTGTGGTGTTTGTGCAGAGCCCCCTACGCAGCATGGGGCAGTGGGGATCACCCCCCGCCCAGCAGCACCCGTTGAGTCGGGGCTTTTATTTTTCAAAGTGCTGGAGCCGGACTGTGCCCGGCAGCCATTGCCAGGCTGGGAAAGCGGGCGGGGGATGGGCCCAGCTGATTCGGATATTTGGAGATTCAGTGGCAGCTGAATCTCTGAATCAGATTCAGCTGAATCAGTTTGGGACAGTGATTCAAATCACAGAATTGAATCATCATCCCCCGAATTGGCTGAATCTGAATCCAAAGTGCATACTAGCTGCTTTGCACAGGCCTAATATTCAGCTATAATATGGCTTATTAAACGGGAGAGAAAAATAGGACAAACGATCTTAGGAAAACCTTAGTAGTCAGTAGCCTGCATCAACCAACCCAACAGTTTATCGCAGTCAACACATTCAGAGTTTTCTCTGCTCCATGCAGAGGAAATGTAGAGGCTAGTAGGGCCGGTGTAGCTTAAAACCTTTCCCTCTGGCTTCCCAGCACTGGGGGGCACCACTCCACTGTGGCTGCTGCTCAGCACCAAAAGGGAGTGTAGCTCTGCCACTTCTCCCAGGTGTTTCGGCTGTTCGCACGAGCAATTTTGACAAGAGTTTTTGGAGTTTATTTTATATTTTCCCTCTGGATTGTTTTTCTGAAGCTGATTCTGGGAATGGAAGTAGAGAAGCTAAATTTAAAGAGCCGATGCTTCCTGAAAATTATTTTCTTCCCCTAAAAATAATTAGAAGCGACGTGCCTGAGGAATTCTCCAAAGACTCATTAGTATCCAGGAACCGGCCACTGCTTCCCACTCCAGCTTTAGCTTAAGGCTTTGGTGTTTGTTAGATTTCAAGACACAGATGAACATAGAATATAGGAGCTACAAATGCTATAAACTATTGCTGCAAATCCAGTCTTTGGGATCTTCCATGCATTGGCATTAGCTGTGTTCAGGTCCCTCTCATGTTTACTTTCTGCAGATGAGTCTCGTGGCAGAGGTGATCTTCACCATAACAGTGAATGGCCCTTGTCCACGTTATGTGCATCACCATAATAGTATGCATGAGGTAGTTACAGCAGAGAGTTGCTGGAAAGCAGTCTGACAGTGCATTGTACTTCCCTGGGAGAGGTGCCCGAATGAACTGTCTGAAATCACAAGTTCAATTGGGTTTTGAGGTGAAAACCTAAATCAGCCCAACCTGGCTCCACACTGGACCCTAAATTCTCTCTCAAGTCTCCTGAATCTTCAGGATCCAATTTAACCTGGGAAGAGAATTGCATCTGTATCACAAAACCCATATCCAGGAGAATTTTGTAGTTGTAACTTCAGACTCGAGTAGGTAAACTCATAAGGCGGCCCTCACCGTAGTGCTTTGCCAGTGACTTCTTGCACCCTTCCCTTCCCAAACTATCATTTGATCTCTTTGTAGGAAGGGAGGAGGCTTCTACACCACCTGCTTTCATGTTGCAGCTGATTTAATTTGTCACAGACACTTACACACTGCAGCTATCTCTGTCCATAGTTTTGGTCTTTGAGACCGTTAACAGCAGGCACAGTTAGAGCAGCCCTTTGGCTGATCTAATTTATTCCATAAATCACAAGGTTGTATGTTGATGCTTTTGGATTGGAGAATGTAAAACAAGCTATATGACACTTCTGTTCGCATTTCGCAACCTGTGCTGCATATAGTTTAGCTAGACCCCAGGATTTTATCCTAAATCAGGAGCAACTCCATTGAAGAAAATGAATGTAAAAATAGTACAAAAAGAATCTGGGGCTGTGAGTGCCGTGGCCATAAAATGCTGCCCTCGGTGTGAATGAGTGAGGACTGCTGATGTAGTGTTGTATCCCCTGCATGCACAAATGTAAGTGAAGGCACAAGATACAAGGCTGGGGAAAACAGTTTGCAACTGGCAGAGTCCCAGGTATACAGGACATATTCACAAGGGGCTGAGTCGCGTGGTGCGTCTGAGATTTAAGAGCAGGAAAGACTTAAAGGAACTGGTTGCTGCTCTGGCAGCAAATAAACAGTGTTGAATTTGCATTTGATACTTTCTTTTCCTGCAGCTCTCACTGGAGCTAAAAGGAAGCTCTGGCTGGGCAACCGCTCCACAGTGAGAGCTTGTAAGAGTAGATTAAGCTCTTGACGTGCTACTTTCATAACCGGTCTTGCTCTGAAATGGCTGTGGGAGAGCTGGGGGAAAGCAGTGTGATGTGAGGGGGCGGTGAATTCTGCTCTGCTTGGAGGGACATCTGGCGTAGTGTGGGGAGACGGAACAAGCACACATGCTTATTCATGTCGCTCGTAGGGCTGTGGGCTCACGGTGTCACCATGCAGGACGGCTCAGGACCGGAGCAGCCAGACGATCTCCTGTGACGGTATTTGCACAATCATTGCTCGCGCTGGTAGCAAGCCAGGGTCTTGATTTCTGAAATGTGCTTCGGGCTTTTGGATTGCAGCAGTGATTGAAAAGGGGGTGGGAGTGGCAATCGGGATTCTTCGCAGTCTGTTCCCAACTCCAGAGTGGGTTTTCTCTTGCAAGTATGCATACTCAAGAAAGATGGCAACAGAAAAAACCCAAATGCATTCAGTGTAACTAAACATGCTAAGGCACAAGGCTTGAGAGCCCTGTTTGGGAACTAGACTATATATAACTCGCGAAGAACACAGGTGTGAATTTCACAGGCAGTGCGTAGCCCAGCTTTTTGGCTTCTACACTTTGGCCTGCAGCAGAATGTTGCTTTTATAATAGATTATTTTTCTGTCTTTTCTGGGGTTTTTAATCATTGTTTTCTGGGGTTCCTAGTCATCACCTGCTCCATTGCATTCTCCAAACTGTGTACTTGTTTGACTCGTAACTTAACACTGCTGTGGAAAGCTACCCTTGCCGTGAAGGTTTGCTTCATAAATCAGAGAGGTCTTCCGTGATGGAAGACGCTCGTTTGAAGTCGTGAGTTAGAGGGTAGGATGGAGAGTCCAGGCCTTTTGCCAGAATAGTTCATTACACTTGTGGGAGTGGTTTTACTACATGTAGAAAGTGCATCTTTGCTGGTACAACTGCGTCCGTGCCAGGAGCGCTTTGCTCCAAAAAGATATTGCTATTCCCATATCGTAGACAGAGCTGTAACCTTCTTCTTTCTATCTGATAATCATCTTCGCAGACTTTTTTTGGCTATATACTCTGCTCCATGAGCTGCCCTACGATCTCTCTGGAGAGTGTCTGAGGTTATCACTTCTTTATCTGAAGGAAATACATCCAAAACCCTGAATAAGAATTTCAAAAAAAGGTCCATAGTCAAACTCTGAATCTCAATCTGTTTTTCATTTCTTGGTCCCGTTTACTGTTTACTGGTCTTATTTCACTTTCCTGGTTCCGCCATTCATCTTAAAACAAACCTCACACTGGGATCGTTCTTTTTGTTAATTTCTTCTTGGTAATAAGTGCAGGCTTAATCCTGCGGTGTTGAGTGCCTCCTGCAAGATGCATAAATTCAGCAACTCCCAGAGTATCAAGGCAACCTAAGACCATTCACAGTTTCATAGTTTCTAGGGTCGGAAGGGACCTGAGCAGATCATCAAGTCCAACCCTCTGCCGTGGCAGGAAAGAGTATTGGGGTCAAATGACCCCGACTAGGTGTCTATCTAGCCTCTTTTGAAGACCCCCAGGGTAGGAGCGAGCACCACTTCCCTTGGAAGTTGGTTCTATTCCTTCTGTGACAAATCAATGGACATGGTTGGCTAGGAGAGACAGAACCCTTGGTACCCAAGAAGGCTGTTAGAGGGCTGATTGCCAGGTCCTGGTATTAAGTGATGTGAATGGCTCCAAGGGAAATAACCTGTCACATGCGGGGGGGGGGGGGACCCCCCGGGGACTTTTTAAGGCCCTTTT